CGAAAAATGTCTTATTTGTGGATGATAATTTTAACAAAATGGTCAAGTTGAATCAATCTTATCAATTAAAATAATCAAATTTGATGTTAACTACATGTAATATTGATTGTGAAGATTTTAGAAGGGTCTAAAATTAACTAACCATAAATACTTGGGCCTCGTATTGGAGGAGTAAATGAATCAAGACCTTATTTACTCCTTAATAGATTGATTCCATACTTACAGGCCTACTACACCACAAGCAAAGACTTGGAAGAGAAGAGATACAATTCTCTGATATATCAAGTATTTCTAAGTATGCTTGTCTCATTTTGATATTATTTGTTATAGACTTAACTATGTTTGTTTAAGTTGTGTGACACCCTTGTGTGTCCATCCGCAAAGAATCAATCTTCTTGAGACCTCTTGTAGTCCTGTAAAGACATACAAAAAATAAGTAGGGTTAGAGAAAATGTTGAACTCAAGATCCATAAGTAATTATTATAGCAAACACTTGATAGGCAATGTAAATTATAAACATAGATTTGTAAGCTCTAAATGATCATGTGACAAAAGGTCCAAGATGATTTATCATAACCCAAAGTCCCTACAAGTGCCCACATAACATTATTACGAAATAATGTGGTGTGCTAATCCTAATTACTACTCCAAAAGCCCATCTAGTCACGTGCTACCCAAGTAGCTCTTAAGTATTGTACACATTCTGTACCACTCTACATAATTAAAAAATCCTTAAAATGATTGCTTGGATGGATGGTTTGTTTCTGAACAATTTTATCTCTGCACAATAACTACACACAACCTATATTTACAAACATGAAATGATTATAAAAAGACAACTAAACTATGACCGTTAAGCTTTCTACAGGTCCTCTGCTATGTAAAGCATGAACACAAATCAAATGATACTGGACATTACATCATCAAATATCTCGTTTATAATTTTATCAATATATCTCATTTATAATTTTATTCATGAGAATAAAACAATAGATAGTCATGAGCAATGGATAGCCATAGGCTTTGCATACGAGCACATATGTCCGGAATCATAAGATTAAAATGATCTATAAGTGATATTTTATAAAAAAATTAAAAAAAATGAGATGTTTTGATAAAAGCTAAGGCTTTTTTTTTTTCGAGAATGTACCCATTGAATTTATAAATTCAACTATAAAAATCACTTAATATCTATCCATGCTATTTTAACGTTTTTTATACTTTTCTTTATAAACTATCCACAGTTTTAAACCGTTGGATCAAGATTCCATATTTAAGTAATAATTTATTATGATTTTGTTACGGTGCTACGAAGATTTGAACCGTCTGATCAAGATCGTAAGGTTGCGAAGAAAAGGCAATGGTATTTCCGGTTTGGTCCCCTCTTCACTTCACGGCCCGTTCTCCACACAACACCCGATCGATTTCTTCCATGGCGAAAGCCCTAAATTTTCCATCCCCATTCTCCTCCCCCATTCCTTCTTTCCACCCTGGACGAGTTCTCCCCCCGGAGATCTGCCGACTGATCCCGTTTTCATCCCTTGCCGTGGAGAGAAGTGGCAGAGATCCGACCGATCTTTAAGGGTATCTTTTTGCCTGGAAGTCTTCCTTCCCCTCCGTGTGGAGATTGGGGATGGCGTTGCTCATGACGCACAGAACGATGGTTCTGGTGTTTGGGGGGTATGTGAGCTCCATCGACGGGATCGCGTTCTTCCGGCGGGGCCCGGTGGTTTGCCAGTTGCGAGGCTGCGCGGGATGGCGTTCAATCTGACGGATATCGGCGGGATCGGGGGTGGGAAGACGCTGAACTCCGCGTTTTCTTCTCCTCCAACCACAAGGCAGGTAGGCAACGCGAGGCGGTCCTAATCAGGTACGAGAAGCATTTTTCGAGCAGGAATTGGTCCAACTCAAACGTGTTGCCGACTTAATCTTCACCCTAACAGTAAACTCGTACTCATCATAACTTTGGTTATGGATTCGAAAGGCATTATATTTAGATGCACATCTACCGAGCTTAGACTCCTTTACAATCTCTATATCCTGTGCTTCTAAACTAATTACGTTATGCTGTGCTCAAAACTTATCTTGAACGTAATTTTCTTTACCTTTATGTCGTGCAATTAGGGTTTTAGCAATAATTTATGCATTGTTAATAACATCATAATCTTCACTCAAAGCGCACAATTATTTGAATTGGGGGTCACAATTAATAATAATTGAGAAGTACTTGATCGGCAACAGAAACAGAAACAGGCCTTGAGTTTCTACCGAGTTGATTTCGCTAAGCTCGGCAGGTGCCCATCAGACATCACTGTTTTGATGTGATGGAGATGGTGCAAAACCCTAAAACCTTAAAGTATAGTGTGGAAACACGACTCGTTTAACATGCCACCCTAGACCAAGTCATACTTGTTGAGCTTTGGATTCGCTTTCATTCAAACGCTTGCTTGGTTGGATCCCATACTGATCTCTTTGGTGGTACCTACAAAAGGCCAAAGACGAATAGGACCACATCACGACCCCAACTTATTATTTCCATGTCGGCAATGGATTCGTCATTTTTATGTTATTAGCAACTTAAAGATCACATTTTTACGGTAATGGCACCGCCAGAAGTAGACAAACTCTCATAGTAGAAGGTGGAATTTCTTTCGGCACAAGTTGTGACCCGATGACCAATCCAAATCCACGTCGAATTAATTCTGTGACAAAAAACTATGCAATATATTCAATGATTGAATAATTTGGATATTATATTTAATAATTTAGATATGTTCTTTAGCTTTGAATTCATCTGTATGAACGATCAATCGGATTAAGATACGCGGTCTGGAATTAGAGTTCAGTGTGTGGTATGATCTTGTTTATAGTCGTGTCGGGAAATGTGTCGTCTTCTACTTCTCTTGGTGGACTTTGGCTGAGGAAGGAGAACACGTGTTTCTTTCAAGGCTATATTTTATTTCCTTCACTGTGTGGTTCTCATCCTTTTCCTTCTTTCTCTCACGTGCCTTCTTTTATCTCTATAAAACCATAGACAAGGAGAAGGAAGAATATGTGTTAATGGTGACCCACAAGGAAGATTAGGAGAAGAAGAACAAGATACATCAATATTATTGAGTAAAGTCTGGTTAATTGGAGGGAGAGAGAGAGATGGCAGGAGAGAAGATCGGAACGAGAAGTGAGAAGACACAATTCTCAGTGACATGCAGACTCTTGAGCCAGTACTTGAAGGAGAAGGGCAGCTTTGGTAGCATTGGCCTTGAGTTGGCTCCATGGCCTATTCACCACCAACCTCAAGGTGACCTTGCTTCTTCCCTTTTTATTGATATCACATGGAACTTTTATGGGTTACAGAGTTCTTCAAAATTTTCTTCCCTCTTCAATCTTCCACATGACCTTTTCCTTCTTTTTTCTTTTTACCTAGTGTATTTTGGCTTTTGAGACAATTTAAGTTCTGTGTTTGTTCGTTCAATTTTTTTCTCCATGATTCCATGTTATCAATGCGTTGGTTGGATTCACAATTTTTTTTACTGCAAGAATCTCTTAATTCTTAACATGACTACTGGCTTATTGATTACCACAAATTTGAAGGTTCTTTTATCAGACATTTCCCAACTCTTCAACCTCTTTCCTTTTGTTTTTTGTATCATAAGGAATTTTAAGGGGATGCATAGTTCTTTAATTTCCTTAATCTTCCTTTGGGACAACTCTTTTTCTTCATCCAAATTAATCTGCATGTTCATCTTGCGATTAATTGTTCATTTTTTTTTTCTTTTTCTTTTATATGGTTTCCTTGTTAGGTGGCATCACAATTTCTCTTACTGAAAAATTCTCTTAATTCTCAAAATTAATACTGGCATAGACTTACATCTGCATCTTTCTTTGCCACAGAGAAGCACCAGGCACCCACCACCTTGAGTCTGCTACCAGGTGTGGATGTGTCCACTGAGGACCAGACCATCAATAACACAGACCAAAATGCTCCAAAATCCATGGAGCTTTTTCCCCAGCATGCAGGGATTGATTCAGAATCTGTCAGGATTCCTTCAAATATTAAGTGAGATATCAAAACTCCAGATCTCATGTTCTTGGAACTATTCTTTGTGTAGCTTCAGTGTTGTAAATCAGGATAAAATGTTTACTCTCTGTTGTTGTGATTACTTTATCAGGACAGAGAAGGCACAATTGACCATCTTTTATTGCGGAAAGGTGTTGGTTTTTGATGATTTCCCGGCCGACAAGGCGGAGGATTTGTTGCAGATGGCCAGCAAAGAGAGCATTGCAGCCCAAAAAATTGCTTTCACTGCCCCTTCTTCCTCCACCGGAGCTGACTGTAGCAGTCAGCTGGAGACTGCTCATGCTAATGCTTCTGGTAATCATACTCTTGATCATTTTCGGTAATTCATTAAGTATAAAAAATATAAATTATTTTATGGACAGCATGATCAGATCTATTCACAAAATAATTAGGAATCAGAGATGTAAAAATTTCTGTCATATTTTTGGAATCTATGCATGTACAGACATATCCGATACACAACTTGTGGCAATATATAGTGCTGTAACTGATGCTGATTAATTTTGTTTCGGAAACAGATATGCCAATAGCGAGAAAAAACTCTCTTCATCGGTTCCTCATGAAGAGGAAGGATCGGTGAGTGTTTCTTGCTTATGATTCTTGATTTCCATCTTGTATCTCGTATCTTTACATGGTAGTAGTTGACAGCACAATTATATCTCTGCTTGCCAATGTTTTCAGGATCAGCACCAAAGCTCCGTATCAAGTCCATGGTGGCACGGAGGCGCCAGACTTGGGCAAGCCGTAGCACTGCCGGTCTTGGCTTGGGTTGGGTGGACAAGCTGTGAAACAAGAAAACTCTGAGAGTAGCTGATAGCTTTGAAATCCAAACCAGTGACTTAACCACAGGGATGGAACAGATGGATCTGCTAATTGTAGCATTTCATTTTTTTTTTTTCCTTTTGATGCAAAGGGAGATCTTGTTTTAGGAAGAAGTTTCTGTTGTATTTTCATGTGATAAAGACACAAGTTTTTGAGATCTCCTTCGTCAGGAAATGGCAGTTCATGACTGCTAATTCATATTGTTCAATCATGTTGTGTCATTTACAACCTGAGCTTACTGTTCAACATTGTTGACTTGGCTGATACCTGTAAACTTCCTTTAAATGTATGGATTCATGCACGCAGCAAAAAAGATCTCAAAAATGCAGGTTGACATCAAGGTGGTCAAGGAAAATTATACTAGTGCAAATAAAGTTCAGCTAAATGTGTGGATATGAATCAAATCTTATCTAATCCAATCAAAAGAAATCCCATAGAGCATGAATATGAGAAATAAATTTCTTTACAAAAATTATGAAAGATTCTTTATAGGTTTGATGTTGATTGTTTCTAAATATTGGATGCTTAGTCGTATAGCACAAAGCATGTGAATAGTAATTTTCATATTCTCCACAAGGCTTTTGTATTCTTCTCAATTCTTACTACATGTAGTAAACATATTTGATGAAGGTGGTCAAAGAAAAAACTATATAAATTGAAGACATTGTTATACACATGTTAAATGAAATTTTTACTCAATCTCCATCTGATTCCACCACTGAAGGATTTATTATTATTATTATTATTATCATTTCAGCATTCTAGAAGTTTTAAAGACCAGACTAAAGATTATCCAGCTGAATTCTCTGTTCTTTTCTAATTGTCCCAAATTGGAGACTTAGATGATGACTCTTCCTGAATCAAGAAATTGTTGTCACAATAATATATAATATAATCTCCCTCTAGAAGTCTGCACCATCCACAAACTCTGCAAGAACACGGTTTCTCAGTTTCCTCACACGTTTTCATGTGCAAGCCAGGACTTGAAGGGTTGTCTTCTTCCCAAAAGCCTTCATAGTCTGCCAAGGGAAAAGTACAGGTGAGACTGCCATTGCAAGCTCTCACACATCCCAGACTTCAAACCAAAAAAAAGACAATAATATCACATGAGAAAGAAAGATGACTCCATATGCAGCTCCTCCAACATCCATGAGATTGAGTGAAAATGAAAAATAAAGGTACAATTTAAATTGAGATGAATATGTAATTCAATCTTTGAGGTGAAATCTGAGTTGTTTTCAGAAGCTTTCAACTCTTTCATGTTGGAGACTGTTTGTGGTTTTCTTGATTTTATGGGTAAGATTCATGAAAAAAAGATGGAATATGTATATATGATGTCCAAATTGTTCTTCAACGACAAAAAACTTTTGAAGTCAGTCACCTAATTTCTTGGAGATCAATCTCACATACAAAAAGTCAAAAAGGGTTAAATTAGAATAAACCAAAAGATCACTCAGAATAGGTCAATAGCGTGGCACTTTCCAAGGGGTTGCACCCCCTCGAGGCAATGAAGAGGCACCGAGCAATTTGGGGATTCGATAACATCTCGCATTAGATACTAATGTTTTAATTGTCTAAAACATACAACTCCAAGGATTACAAATACATCAATACTTGTTTAAGAAATTAAAATGGGTAAAACATCATATAATTTGTAATTGATGCGAAATACCTTACATGTCAATAAGATTTAGATCAATAAGATTTGATGATTGAGATGGAAGAATTGAAGTGAGACTTAGATCAATTTGAATTGACTATAAAACCTAACTCAAAGACTAACGCCATTCCTCTTAAGCAATCAGTGGATGTTGCTCGGAAACTTGTGGATGGTGACCAAACAAAGCCATTCAAAGGCAAAATGATGCCAAGCAAATGGATCCAATCAATAGGGGGGGAGAAAAGGTGTTGTGGGTGACATAATTAAATTGAATCCACAGGACAAGCATGCATGTGGAAGAAATTGTGTGTGTGGGTGGGTGGTGGACTCACCAATCATCGATTCTTTAGTCTAAGAACAAAAGAAGAAAAGTCAATGGGTGGGTGGCATTCCTCACCCACCTTCTTCTAACTCTTCACATGCCATGAACTTAGGGTTTGGGGACTACGCGAAGAGGTCAATTTGGAGGACTGTATAGTTCTCGAGTCTTCAAGCATCAAATTAAGCAAGATTAATGAATGCAATTTGCAATGGATCTCACACTTGCGTAATCCGAGAGTTGGGTTTGTTATATTTTTGGTAGACCCTCCGTGACCTTAATTATCACTATTTCCATCAATATAAGATCCGAGGAAGGATCAATATACGTAAAAGGCCTCATGCCATAATAGACATATCATTATTATTGATCCTCTTTTTAGTAGTGATCGTTATTGATGAAGTTATCATTAAGACATTGACCATCATCGTATAATAATGGTAGGGTATTTTACAAAATGCTAGAATTTATTAGCAGTATATCAATAATATCATATTTATAGAAAATACGATGAATATACTGATAAGTAGGCATATAATATCTTAGACTTTTGTAATAATAAAAAAAAATATTTTTTGTGTGAGGTTTAGGGAAGAGTTAATATACTAGATTGGTTGTAACTCTCCGTCGACAATTCTAATTTAGTATAAAGATGTCAGAAAATATTATCTCTATTTTATAAATTTAAATAATTAAATAAATTAAATATTTAGGTAAGCATTTGTATTTCAAATCTTTTAAGTAAGGTACTGAAAAAAAAAGAATAGTTTAGTTTATAAAAAATTAAGTTTTATCTAAATTAGAATTTTATATAAAATGATATAGTTAAAACAAGACAGATAGGTCAAAATTTTTAAAAAAATTAAGATTAATAAATTTATAGCTCAAATAAGATTGATACCGTTAGGAAGAGCAAAACTCTAAAAGAAACACTCATAACCAAAAAGAAATCTAGAAATTTCTATAGATGAGTTATAGCTGCGGAAGAAATATTATGCCCGTTTAACTACCAAAAGGACTCGTTACATTTTATTCTTTGGTCTCACAAGAGAGAAACATGCTTCCTTCTGTTCCTTGTGATCAAGAAAGAAGTTGAAACAACTGGGGATACCTTTGCTTGTTGTTTTGGGAGTTGTAGTAGAAGATTAGATAAGAGCATACCTTTGTTTAGACTAATTTTACGTATATAATAAGTAACTATGTGAAGCATTTTGAACAATACTAATCTAATTTTCTAGATAACTCAAGGAGTCGAAAAAAAGAAAAAGGTGAAGAAATTTGAAAGAAATCAAATTCGATATTGATTGATGATTATAGATCTCAATCGAGGACTAAAAATTTTGATTTAAGATTTTAAAGATCTATCGTTATTATGAATATGAAAGTCTATCGATCAAGAATATCATAAAAAAAATATTCCTCATAACGAATCAAGAATATTATCCCCTTCAATATTAAAATTAAATCATATATTTGTTTTTATGTAATTATAATTTTTTTATATAAATAGGTCAGATTATAATGAGATACGATAATCAATCAATTGAATTTTTTATATTTATTATTATTATTATTATTTTCCTCTATATATATATACATATATATATATACATATATATATATACATATATATATATATACATACATATATATACATATATATATATATGTATATATCTATATGTATATATATATA